TCCTCATATGCCAAAAGCTAGGGTGTTTTTCCTTTCCTTTCTGCCTAACTTAGCTCCTTGTCTGAAAATTAAGCAACAACACTCTACATACAGAATAACATTTTGACTTCCTAAGGAAATACCGCTGAAACACTTAGTACTGTTTGATATCTCTCTTGGGAAAGCAAAACACATTTATTAAATCATGCATGTTAACTCCAAAAGCCAACAGAAGGAAACAACTGCTTTATTCTTTGCATTGAGGTTTTGTACAAACACAGACTGTCACGGATTACTTTGCACCGATCCTTCTTTGCTTATGCAACTGGGTAACAGTGTTGAAGGATGTTCAGGTAATATCACCAATACTGTACTTTGTGATCTCTCTTTCATATTACTGTTCTACCGCACACTTGTACAAATTACCTGTGACCATGATATTAAAAAAAGAGCCCTGCTCTGATTTCAAATAAGTTTCAAATTTCCCCAGGCAATTATGTGCTCATTTCCAGAATCCACTTCACCTAATATTAGTAGTGCATGATGATGAAACAGATGATCTTTATAAACACTTTTGTGCAACCAGACAGGTTTTGTTTTGTTCATCTTATTTCTGTAGAACAACAAAATTGATCGCGTGGCTGGGCTTTGAGCAACCTGCAGACATATCCAGCATACCTGGCTTCAGCTGCCAGCTTCAGACTCTTGATCTCACTCATTTTCCAAGGAGGAATACGAAAGCCACACCGCTCTGGCATGTATTATCAAGCAGGCTTCACAGCACGACTTGCCTTAGCTATGGCAATCCCCTGGCCTCAAGGCAGTCTCCAGCCGTGCAGTGAGTGCCGTCAGCAGACTGTCTCACCTCTGAGGACTTACACGGAGTAACCAAAAAAAGAGGAACGGGATTATGAATGAGTTATGGGCACCAGGAATTTGAGATTTCAGAGGGAATCTTCAAATCTTCCAGAGACCCGACTACTTCCACGTCCCCAACTACAGGGCTCTCTCAGTTCAGCCTTTTTTCACAGAGCCTACATGGAGACAGAGAGAGACGCCCAGCCATGAGGAACAGCTACCACAGATCAGCTGGACTGCGGGGCCACAGAACCTACAGTGCCGGATTAAACATGAGATCGTTTCAGCTGCCTGAGAAGTTTGTTTCAGCACTTCATATGATGAGTAGGAAGGTGCAAAAAATCTCTCTCTTCTGAAGAGAGAGGGGAAGGAGGACATTAATGTTCAAATGTCTAACAAGGTTCTTCCCAGCCCTGAACTAATGAATTAGTTCAAATAAAAAAAAAAAGGAAACATGTATTATTTTCAAGGTACATTTTTTCATGGTTTCTGTGTTGTATCTTGCAGCGCTTTTTTGTTTGTTTGTTTTAAATCACTTATTTACAGTACTAACCTCCACTATTATCAAGATTACTGCAATATCAGAAAAGGAGGTAGGACCTGATGGCAAAATCATACCAGATGGACTAGAAGCAAAAATGTAGCACATTTGCTCCACACTTCTTTAGACACTCTTCTAAGATCCAGTTCCACACCTGTATCTGCCAGAGGGCAATACAATAGCTGAAGGATTGTAGTCAGTGAACCTGAGTTAGAGTTCAGATTTTAAATTGATAGCTTGAATTCTGGTTTCAGATACAGAAAATCTTTTTTCAGATACAGAAAATTTCTATCATACGCACACAAAGAGAGAATGAAACTGCCAAGTGACATTCTAGGCATTATTAAAGAAACACATTCAAAATGATCTCATACTGACTTCAACAGATACAGATGGGGATTGAAATGAATATGACAAGAAGTTCTCACCACTTTTTGATTATACTAATGACCTGTATACAATGACACACTTCTGAAATATCAGGCAATGAATTTTCAGTACTTATTACTAAACAATTAGATTGTTTATCAAAAAAAAAAACAAAAAACAAAAAACAAACCACCGGCAAAACAGACTATTCCACTCATCTATCAGACTATTGGAAAGAGGAGGTAGGCACACATCCTGAAGTGAAATATTTAGTGCTGCTTTATCTTAACTCTCTCCAAAGGAAGTCAACGTGTAACTTTGAGGCAAAAAAACAAACCAAACAAAAAAAAAAAATTTTTACAGTTGCTTTTTAAAATAAACCCACAACCCTTCAAGTCTTTGTTACAGTAAAAAGAAAAAAAAAAAAAAAAAAAAACAAAGCAAAGCAAAGGTAGCCTGCTCTGTATAACTATATTTCTGATTTGACAGCTACAATTATAATCATTCAGACATCTATTTCCCACAAACTCTCCACAACCATAACCTTTAGTGATTAATTATAAAGTTCCAGGAGCAACAGTACACAGACTAATTTCCTAAAACAATAAAAGACAGAATTTCTCATTTGGAGCTAAATGAAACACGAACAGGTTGTTATTCATGCTGAAATCTAGATGCAGAGTCATGTTGCAGCCATTACAGAAGCTATTAAACACAACCTCAAATCAAAGAAACTGTAGGTCTCTCTCCTAAAATAAAATGTTTTCCTCACTTATGAGGCTTCTGACTCCTTTGTTCTGTTTCTTTTTGCCTCTTCTTAGTAACAAAAATTTCAAAATTCAATTTTCTTTCTCATTCTGCATTCCCATTTTGTTTTTAATAGTCATTTAAACTGTAACAGTCTAGAGCAAAACAAACATTTGGTAAAGCTTTCATGCACACAGAATTACCAGGCTGTTCTCTTCACAATGAATCAAAGTTTTGAAGTGTATATCAACTTCTAAACACAATGCCGACTCTCTTCAGGTCCTACCTTACTCTCCAATGAGTTTCTACAGTGAATATTTGGTAATTCCTCAGTTATTTTGTACAGTGAAATAAGATGATTTTAGTTAAGCTGTACATCTATTTATTTATGGTTTTCCTTTTTGACAAGTCCTGCTGTACATGCTTAGTGTAAATCTTTTTTAAAAAAAAAAAAACCTTCCGAAGAAAGAGATAAACTAAGCATCATAAAATACATCCTACTGCATTGCAGATAATAAAAAATGGGAAAATGATAATAAGTATATTAGTAGTAGTCCTTTTTGTTAAGGACTTATTTCTTCTCCTGCAAGCAATATTGGGACTTGATCCAGAGAATCTGCTCTTGGTAGTTTTACTGAATTAGGCAATGAAAAAGGTAAAGAATGGGAAAAGATCTTTACATAACTGATATCATATCTATATCCTTGGGTCCCAATGTAACTTCACTTAAAGTCAGTGGGAATTTTTCCAAATATTTAAATTGGTATTGAGTCAGTTCTGTAACTCATTGAATTGCTAAACTGCAGAGAACTTGAATTTAATATGCATGCTCTTGGTGTATTTTAGAAAGGCTGGCATGATACTCCCCATAAAACCTGTCAATGTACCTAAAATAATATTATTACTGTACTGCAGACTCTCCCCATAATAAGAAAACAAATTTTGCCATAACAGAAAACACACCAAAAACCATGAACATTGGAATTCACGAGCTTTGTACAGCAGCTTTAAAAAACCTTCATACTAATTCTGCATCTTTTCCATTTGAAGCCTCCTTGCTTTTTGGTAGGAATTTTATCTTCTTCAGTCATAATTCTTAGCATTCAGTGAAACTTCATAATTCCTTTTGAACTATACACAAACTACAAGAGTAATAAGAACTAAATATGCTTTTTCAGTGTTATTTTTCTGAATTCAATATGCACTAATTGATTAGGGTCTGAGAGGTGAATAAGAAATACGTATTCTACATAATAGAAAGCTGGGGAAGGGTTTAATGCATGAATTAGAAGCCAGATTTCTTCAATACAGATGAGTACACAAAATTAGCAAAAGGCAATACCACTTTTGGAAAGACTGCTTTGTGCATAATTTGTCATGAATTCAAAGTTATTCCTTTAGAAAATGAGTCTAAGACCTCCCAGCTGCTGCTTTATTGGTCTAATAAATTACCATTTTGATGGTACAATGCATATACACTATACACCATCCAACCAAGCAAACTGTTCGAGTGCCTTCGTCTTTAGAGACACATGTGTGATTTCAGATATGTGTGAATGCCGATGGGAGATCTGAATGCAATGAGGGATCAGACAATGCCTCTGTTGTTGAATCGGTAATGAAAACAAAGGATGTGTGCAAGTTTCCAAAATACAAAGAGTGTTTTGTAGGATTGTTTGTGTCAAAAAGAGCAAGTCCAGCTGAACCTGTCCTTATTGTAATAGGTATCCAGCAGCTTCCTAACACAAAACAGCTCTATCTTATTCAAGGTTCTCTACACTATCCAAGCAAAATCTCTTCTATTCACCTGAAAAGGACATGAGAGTAAAAAAGAAAATACCCTCTTCAAAAGATCCCTTTCTGACTTAAACTTTGAACCTTATTCTTGTGGAGCTGGGCCTCAGGGAGCATAATTCAAGTCCAAGCTAATATTTCTAACAGCATAGACTGAACTTGTGTTTGGTGTCAGTGCCTTCTTTCCAAGGTCACTCAAGCCAGGTAGGCCGTAACAAATGTTTATCATGACTACTTCATAGCTGTAGTTGCAAATATCCATTCAAGGAAAGAACAAAATGCAGAAAAGCCAGAGAACTCGTAATTTAGCATTTCCTACTTCACCTTCCTCCAGTGAACTGTGGTGACTCACACTCAGCTCCAACAACCTGATATTTTGGAAACTTTCCATAATTTACAGGAAAACACTAGACTCAACTGTATTATTGCCAAAAGAAAAACATTTTGTTACTACAAATATACTCAGAGAATGGTTTAAAATGCCTGTATCCTTACCTAGCAATCTCTGGCCACTGTTATTTCAAAAAACTTATGAAGATGGCAGTTAGGAGGAAAATTGGAGGAATAGGAGCAGTGATTTTGATTTGATACTGGCAGAGGAAAGTTTACAAAATAAAAGAACACAAGAATTTGAGATAGATTTTGATTTTGTTTCCAATGGATAAGAACAGGTTAGACCTCCCCTACAGTTCACATGCACAGGATTACTTACCTGCATTAGAGTTGAGTTCTTCATTTTCTGATTCTGTTCCATTTTGACTTCCACTTCCATGGAGGCTATTCATTGCCATTAGTTTCATTTTCTGTAACTTCATAGCTTCTGCCATGGCAGCTGCTGTCAGTCCTGGAAAAATAAAAGTAAATAAAATGCAGTATACCATGATACAATGCAGCACTGAAAAATATGAAGAACAAGACAATTCCTTTCATTAAGTCACAATTTCAATACAGATTCTTATTCTATAGTGTTATCACGAACATTATTTTCAAGTCATTTGGGTTATTCCAGTACAGCATTCTAAGGATTTTTTTTGTCTAATTCTTTTGTGTTTCTCTTTCTTTCTTCACATGTATAGTGTAAAGAAATATTTATTTAATGTTATTCCTTTTGATTATACTTTTAAGTATCATTTCCTGTCACTTTGATCACTTTGTCACTTTGATCACTGTCTGTTTGACTTAGCTGATAAAAATTTCCAAGTATACTAGTAAGATACAGTATTTCTTAATTTCAACAGCTGGAAGCCAATTAATGTGGACAAAAATCAATGTTGTACTATTCTATACAAAAATATTTCTCTGAAGTTTTTTGATTCAGATTAATATTATTGCTACTAGAAAATACGATGCTGGAAATGCTACAAAAGTACAATATAGGTAATTGCAAACCCAATCCCACCTTAAAGAGACCATTAGCACCACCACAAATATACAGAATTAATAGGGGTAGTGGTAGGAGATTTTCAAGTGACTAAAAACCAATTAACTTCCAATAGTAAAAGAGAAGGAGTACAGTTAGGTTATAGGCTACCATCATCATTACCATGTAATTGTTTTTCTTCTTCTTTTTTTTTTTTTTAATTTAGATTTCCCCATATCTTTATTTCATGACAGTAAACTTTTCAAATTTCATCATTTTGAATCGGTCAATTAAGAGATCGAATGTTCTTCCAGACAGTATCAAATTACTTTTAGTCTGGGCAAGATGTCCCTGAAAATCTGTTATCTGAAGATCCTCTGTCCCACAGAAAAATACAGGGGAAAAAGACATGTAACCCCCAAAGATCTTTACAAGTATAATTGTTTATTCATTCAGTTATGGATTAAACAGGTTTTACTATCTTCCTCTCAGTAAATAATGACTTGCTTTTTCATTTCCTACAAAGGAAGCTAAATGCTTCATATCAGCTATCTTGTAATTGACTGTGCGATAGGTCCACAAACACACTGAATTGCATTTACCAAAAAACATAATTTTTTTGGTTGGTAGTGCATGTTGTATTTACCCACGAACATATATATCAAAACAGAATTACATAATCTGCTATTTATGAGAAGTATTGCTCAGACATTAGATACTGATTAAAGTGAACTAATAATTTTCATATCCTCGACCGCCACACATCCATAAATGAAAATATTTTATTTTAAAAGCTACTATGAATTTGACATTTAGATTAGCTGTGCTGCTGCTATAATAGGCTTCACAAAAGTTCTCATTATTTTAATATGACTTAAGTGAGCAAGCAATCAAAAGACTCCAAATGCATGGGGGGGGAGGTGTATGTATCATCATACATGGCTATAGCAATCCTGTAAATTTCAGTGAAGATGTCCCTCATTAATATCAGTACGTTGGAGATGATCGGTTATGAGATGGAAGTAATACAAGCCATCCAGTCCTTCTGTCCTCCTCCTTCTATCTCGGCTAAGAGTCTCCACGTTCACACTAATAACCTGCAGTTGCACACTCCTGTAATCCAAAAGCCCTAGTGCCAGATCTAATACATGGAAGTATTACCTGCACTACCTATGCATTCATTTCACTGTTCGGTCACTGATACATTCAAAATTATATTGATTTCATTTCTAATATGCACTACCTACAAACATACAAAAGCAGAGTCCAGAAAACGTCAACAATTTCCTTTCCTAGATCATTTAAGCCCTCACTTCATGCAGAGAATTGCCATACCTGAATAGTATTCACTTTTTTCTTTAAAAATATTTTTTTTGAACACCCTTTGAAGTTCTTTTTCAAATGCTACAGGATTCTTATCAGGCAAGTATCAAACCCTGATGTTTAAACTTCTGTTTTTACAAATTCTCTGATGGGCACCACTTACATTTAATCCATCAAAGAAATAATACATCTTAAATGATAAAACTGTTGACACTTTCAGAAGAAGATGAAATAGTCTATAAGCTTTTCCACCTTTTTTCTAGTGAAAGGAAGTGGGATGGATCTTTGAGTGGTTTTTGAATTATTTTCAGGAAGTTCAAGAAACAAGTATCATTACAAGTCTTCTGACGAATTTACAGGTTTCAGGATTTCAAGGAGCCTGCACTACTTGCATGCTACCTGTACTTTCGCTCCTTATCCCAATTCCAAGTTTTGAGGTACAGCCATCACCAAAGCATTTTCAGAACTTATACCCACTCACAGCCTGGTTTCTTTTCACTTCTAATCCATTTGCAAAGAATTCACATTTATTTTAAAGGTTACAATAATAAAGAGTCTGAACTTAGATTTTTTTTAATTGTAACATTTTATCATTAATATGTGATACATATCCACACACGGATGAACCAACAGTCCAGTAAACATTTTCATCTGGATCAGTATTTTAAAACTCTGCTTAATTTAAATATAGAAATGAATACATAAACTATTCATAAGGACATAAACAGGGAACAGAAAGTGATTTCAGGCCTTTAATACAGTGTCCAGTGAAAAGATATGGCAAAAAAATTATCCAGGGCCCTGTAGAAAAAAAAATTTCTTCTGAACATTTGCATCAGAAGCATAATGAAGACAGAAAGGGTAGTGAGGAAAAAACGGAAAGGAATAAACACAGTCCCAAAATCACCACAACGCTGCCTGCAGAAATTAAAAGTAATTATTGTCAGGCATTTTTGAGCTCCCTATCCAGACACAGCTGCCATAAGGACAAAAGCCAAAAAACAGTGATGTCTCAGAAATCTATGCTGTGCCATCTGCCACACCAAAGTCACTCTACTTCAGCATTAAAAGTTTAAAGAGTAAAGCGCAGTCCTAATGTACAGAGCATGACAGCCCGAAGATCCCGAGCAGGTGGGCATACAGTTAAAGCAGATACGGGTAATACTATCTCTAAGCTCGGTATCAGCAAAGTCTTTACACTACCATTCATTGTTCCCCAGTCTGTGTCATTTTGTGTTTGAATTGTGATATAGTAAAAGCCCCAGAATCTTACCGTATGAGGCACTAAAAGCACTGTACTAATTCTTCAACGTTTCTGAAAGCTAATAAAACTGAGACTAAAGCAAATGGTTTCAGCAGTAAGGATGTACTACTGATTGAAAGGATGGAAGAAAACGTACAGCAAATCACCCATTGGCATAATCTTCAATTAAGACGACTGCTGAGACTAACGTTACTGAAGCTGCTATGTAATTTAACTATTAATAAAACCCCTTTCTATAATTGACTCAGCTCCTGCTAGCTGTGGCAGAGAGGGTTATTCTTCAACCGACTTATCTAAGGATCTACAAAGAACTGAAGAATCATTTCCATCCTGTTGGATGAATCATTATCAGCAGCAGAATCTCACTTAGAGTACCTCACTTTGAAAAATGGACCTGGAAACTGCTGCAATGTATACATCTATCCCTCTACTTTCACCTAAAAAAAAGGATCACTACGAAAACTGACATGCTGGATTACATACTTCAAAGATTTCAGTTTTTTCTCTCCATTTACACTTGAAATTTCTCTTCCTTTAGCTGTCTTCTCCCAGCTGTGATCAATCACTAAACACCCAGGAAATAAACTGTGTACCACTTATTGTCAAATACATACAGCTCCTACAATGCTAACAAAAAATAATAAAAAAACAACAACAAACACGAGTCTCACCGCAGTTGCAATGATTTGTTTTCAAACTTCCAGCAACCACGTGGCTGCTGGAGCTGCTCCTGCCAGCAGTGGCCCGCAGCCTGCCCACTGCCTTGGCCAAAGGGCAGCGGCTCCTTGAGGAGCTGGTGGGGATCTCAGAGACATCACCACTGCTGCAGACATCTCAGAGCCACGTTCTGGGTCAGCTCTCTATATATGAATCTTGATTACAACTGCATAACAGATTGTGATGGTGTGCGCTCAGGTACACCTGCATCGTGCATATGGCAAAACAACCAACTGCCATTAGTAATCTTCAGTCTGTAATTTCGGTTTTGTCAGGACACACTGTACTCTCCCTTTGACAAGTCTGCATAACTCTGCAGTACAACACAGGAATTTAGCCCTGAAATAACCCTTCAAGGACATGCAAACCAGCAGAGTTTATGCTCTGGCTGCAATGAAAGAGGACTGCAATTGCATTCTGAGCCGGACTCGCTGAAGATAGCCTCTGCTCCTGAACAGCGCCTTCTTGGGGCACTGAGGGCATGCAGACCACAGGGGTTTCTCCATCCCTTCTCTGCATCCTATTAAAGCTAGTGGTTAATTGTTTACTCAAATACACAGGCACAAAGACTACTGAGGCTTATTCCTCCGTGAAGTCTCTGGAATTATTCTAGCAAAACCTCATTTTTCCTGCATGGCCTGAAGATCACAACTGCAAGGTCTTTTGCAGCCTTCCCCCGAGGCCAGCGTCCCGGTGCAGGGCAGCGCTGATCTTGCCCACACTCCTAGCACTGGGGGACAAGGGGACAGCATCTCATGCCCTGAGTCAGCAGCACAATTTACCGATTAGCAAACATTTTCCTGCAGACATAAGAAACCAAAACTCAATTACATTCCTGCACTGATGTACCCAGGGTATCCTTCTTGTAAGTGAATCCTCCATGTTTAACTTACGTCCAGTCATTGAAAATTAGATTTTGGCGGTAAACACAAGGACTCTGAGCATTTTAACACGACCCTGGGTATCTGCTAATCTTGTACTCTAGCTACAAGATTTTCAGTCTATTTTTCAGTTCCCTAATTAGTTAGACGGTGCCCCTCCTTCATATTAGTTTGAAAGCTTTTCTGTCAAAACTGTGAACAAGTAAATTAACTAAAGGAGAACTATGAGTAATCAAATCTTGAGGTTTGCAATTAATTAAATGAAACGGTGAGTCAATGAACTGAAGAATGGTCTTATA